TACATAATCACCATCAAGTTCAATACACTTTTGCCACCTCCCCTTTCAAGCATTTAGACCGTTGAAAAAAAATGATTCTTCCTTAGAGTCAAAATATGCGTCTACAGCTACTTTGACCTCGTCGTTTGTCGAAAATCTTTGACCTCTCAAGTGCTTTTTTAGGTTAGGGAACAGAAAGAAGTCTGATGGTGCCAGATCAGGTGAATACGGCGGATGCGGTAACAGTTCAAAGCCACAGTTGTGAATTTCAGCCATTGACTGTACTGACGTGTGAACACGGGCGTTATCTTGATGAAACAGGACTTTTCTTCTGAGCATTCCTCGACGTTTTTCTTTTATTTCCTCTCGTAAACGACGTAGTAAGGTGCAGTAGTAATCAGAGTTTATAGTCTGACCCCTTTCAAGATAATCAATCATAATCACACCTTTCGAGTCCCAGAATACTGAAGCCATCACCTTATTTGCCGACAAAATCGACTTAGCCTTTTTAGGGGGTGGTGAACCAGGTCTTCTCCACTGTTTTGATTGTTGTTTTGTTTCCAGTGTACAGTAATGAACCCATGTTTCGTCCATAGTAACAAAACGATTCAAAAAATCATCTGCATCGGCTTCAAATAACTCCAAACAGTCGCGTGAAATAGTCAATCGCGTCCTTTTATGTTCAACTGAAAGCAGTCGCGGAACCCACCTCGCAGACACCTTGTGGAAACCCAACTCGTTGACAATGATGTTTTGAGTTCATTCATAAGAGATGCCTAAAATCTCGGCTATCTCTCTAATTTTTAATCTGCGGTCTCCCATTATTAAATCAAGTACTTTTTTTAATATTTTCGTCAGTAGTTGACGTCGAATGCCTTCCAGAGCGGGGTTCATCTTTCACACTCTCTCTACCACGCTTAAATTCTGCTATCCATTTTTTGACGGATGAATATGACAGAGCACAATCGCCTAATGTACTGACCATGTCATCATGGATGGCTTTTGATGATAGCCCCTTCTTATGGAGGTACTTAATGACGGCACGCTGCTCGATTTGCTCCATTCGCGGAAATTATGTCCGATTACTTTGTTAATAAATTTATAAAATCACAACTAATTATCGCACACGTTTCGAACTTCACACAATGAACTAGTCTGAACTGAACTAAATAATGTGGGTAGATTTGATTTATAGAATTGAATGGATCTGTGTTAGGCCGAGTACTTTTCAATCCACCCAGGTAATATTATACACAATCAAACAACAAAATACTTTCGTTTTTTAGTTTAAAAGTTCAAAATACAGACTTATGAAAAGACAATATAAATAAGACAACAGACTGGCATATTATGTCAATTTTATTTTTCAAAACATACTTTAGCGGCGCTTCAAATTGGCACAGTCATTTTGTATGGTATAGCCAGTCCAGCGTACTTGTATATATAGAGGTCAGTGACTTTATAATATTGTTGTTTATAGTCAACCAAATCTAAGAAATACCTTTTGATAGCTGTCAGATTTATTGCACCAAGCATCATCATCATCATCATTACAGCCCTTCACAAGGCCACTGCTGAACATAGGCCTCCCCCAAGTAACGCCACAAAGCACGGTCCTGAGCCACCTGCATCCATCGACTTCCTGCATGTCTTACCAGGTCGTCACTCCATCTAGTGGGGGGTCGCCCTACACTACGCCTACCGGTACGAGGCTGCCACTCGAGAACCTTTCTTCCCCATCGGTTATCGGTTCTTCGAGCTATATGGCAGGCCCATTGCCACTTCAGCTTACTAATCCGTTGGGCTATGTCGGTCACTCTGGTTTTTTCGCGGATATCCTCATTTCTGAGTCTATCACGCAGAGAAACTCCGAGCATAGCCCTCTCCATAGCTCGCTGAGCGACCTTGAGCGTCCTCATACGGCCAGCAGTGAAGGACCACGTCTCTGATCCGTAAGTCATCACTGGCAACACGCACTGGTTGTACACTTTAGTTTTCAGATATTGAGGTATACCTGACGAGAAGATGTGTCGTAATTTCCCGAATGCTGCCCAGCCGAGTTGAATCCGTCGATTGACCTCTCGGTTGAAGTTGGACTTACCTAGTCGGACTATTTGTCCCAGATAAAGGTACTCGTCAACAACTTCGAGCATAGTGCTCCCAACAACTACCGGCATAGGTGTGACATGGACATTGAACATGATCTTTGTTTTGTCCATGTTCATCTTAAGACCTATCCGTTGGGAGACACCATTGAGGTCATTGAGCATAGTGCTAAGGTCCTCCAGCGATTCTGCCATAAGTACTATATCGTTGGCAAATCGAAGGTGAGTGATGTACTCGCCATTGATGTTAATACCGTATCCTTTCCAGCCCAGTAGCTTGAAAACGTCTTCCAACGCAGCGGTGAAGAGTTTCGGGGATATAACGTCACCCTGTCTTACACCTCTCTGCAGTTGGATAGGTTTCGAACTCTGGTTCTGTACTCTGATAGCCATCGTAGCCCTACTGTACAAACACTTCAGCACTTCGATATACCGACAGTCAACTTGGTACCGCTGAAGGGACTGTAGCACCGCCCAAATTTCGACGGAATCAAAGGCTTTCTCATAGTCCACATACGCAAGGCAAAGTGGCAGATTGTACTCTTCGGTCTTCTGTACAATCTGCCGCAGGGTATGTATGTGGTCTATGGTACTGAAGCCTTTTCAGAAACCGGCTTGTTCGGGAGGCTGGAAGTCGTCGAGTCTGCGTGCGAGACGATTCGTAATGACTCTCGAAAACAGCACGTAGACGCGGCTCAGAAGGGAAATCGGTCTGTAGTTCTTCAAGAGAGCGTTGTCGCCTTTCTTAAAGAACAAGACCACTGCACTTCTGCTCAACGCCTCCGGAGTAGTGCCACCATGGAGGACAGAATTGAAGAGCTTCTGAAGGACTTCAAGTACCGGTGTTCCACCCGCTTTCAGAAGCTCCGCTGTAATTCCATCCTCGCCTGGGGCCCTGCCGTTTTTAAGGTGCTGGAGAGCCATTCTAATCTCGCTCAGACTGACGTCCGGGTATCATCGGAATAATGTCGGGTGTGTAAGACTTGCTCCTGGATCGTTACTCACACTTGCGTGTGGCTCCAACGATGATGTGTACAGCTGCCCATAGAACCTCTCAATCTCACTCAAAATCTCAGGTGTCCCGGAAACGATGCTGCCACACTCAGTCTTCAGCTTTGACAGTTGGCTCTTTCTGGCAGACAGATTTCTGGCAAGAAACTTTGGAGTCCTGGTTCCGTTCGATCGCTTCTTTAATACGAGCAGTATTAAAGTTGCGTAAGTCTCGCCGCATGCATTTGGAGATCTGTCTGTTCAGTTGCCTGTATGCTGTCAAATCTGTTGACGATTGCAGCCTCATCTCCCGTCTAACAGCCACGAGATTAAGAGTGTGATCGGAGAGTTTTTGTGTTCTTCTGCGGCGGGTCTTGCAGAACTTAGCTCCGACCGCATGGACAGTTTCCACGAGCTTGTCATTCATATCGTCCACTGCATAGCAATCATCTAGGCACTGAAAGCGGTTACGTAACTCGAGCTGAAAAGTCTCGGGATTCTGGATTAGAGCACGAGGGAGACGGAGCGTTGAGTTCATTAGACGAGATCTCTCCAACTTAACGTTTAGGTTCAGTGTGCCTCTAACCATTCGGTGATCGCTGCCGGTTTTCACCCTTGCGATCACTGAGACATCACTGAACAGTTGGCGTCTGGTCGTCATAATGAAGTTAATCTCATTTTTTGTCGAACCGTCGGGGCTCGACCAGAACCACTTCCTGTGGGACCGCTTCTGGAAGAAAGAGTTCATCATAAAGAGTCCCTCTTTCTCAATAAAGTCAGCCAGCTGCTGGCCCCTATGGTTCCGTTGCCCTACTCCAAATTTCCATAACTTCAGCTCAACTCCTTCTCTTGTGCCTAGTTTTGCGTTGAAGTCTCCCATCAACACCGTGTAGTGGGTTTTGGAGGAATGCATGGCTCTAGAAATATCCTCATACATTTCCTCCACCTCCTCATCGGGATGTGCCGAGGTTGGTGCGTAGACCTGTATGACCTTCAGCGAATACCGTTTGGTGAGTCTGAGTATCAGGTACGCGACCCTCGTCAAAACACTTCCAATCTTTACAACGTTGTTGACGAGAGACTTGTGGACGATAAATCCGACACCTCCATGGGACAGATGGTCGCCCTCCCGGTGATAGAACAAGTTGCCGGACTCGAGGATTACCGTGTCCTCCCCCTCTCTTCGGACCTCAGATAATCCAATAATATGCCAGCGCAACTTGTCTACCTCTTCTTCCAGCTCCAGTATCTTCTCGTCAGTCCTCAGGGTGCGTGCGTTATACGTTGCCAGGTCGAGTCGTCGTAGGTGGCAACCTAACATCAACCGGAGATTCTTAGCATCCCCTGGCCCGCCGTTACCATGGTCGCCACCGTAGCCAGGAATAGCGGGGCCGCCGGGGACTGGGGGCCGTTTATTTGCGTCGTTGCTCATTATTTGCCATAGTTGCCACGCTTGGCGAGCGGGTTGGCAACCGCAGTTTTTTATTATGTTATTGTTGTTATTAGGAAGATGCTGCTGCCCATCTCCTTTCTGTGTCCCTCTGTCGCCTCTTACGACACCCACGGGAAGACATGGGGTAGTGGATATTCTCAACCGCCACTACACGACTAAGCATGCCAACCAAAAAATGAGAACGCACAATAATCGATTCTTAAAAAAATCAATATCAATTATTTAAAGTTGGTAATCATTCAGTTAGGTTTAAATAATACCCGAATAAATTAGAAACGTATAATTTAAAACAAAAGATTTATCGTTTTCTTCGTATTTGTTGTAACTGCTTATTTCTAGAGGAAAAGTCATAAAAAATTAAGATTGAAACTAGATTAAAAATAAATTTATTCAATCACTTTCACTATATTTTTATGCTTCCTTGAGCAAACCTTCCATCTTCTTCGTGAAAGGTGGCTTGGTGTTATGTCGTGCTACGTAGCCTGTAAAAAAAGCATAAGATATTTTCATTTTGTGTGTGTTTAAGTAAAGTTAATATATTGTCATTTTTCATATAGGAACTAGCCTTTGATTTGGGCCTAAATCAATTCAATAGCATTATATTGGCAGTGGTATGGTGGTAATCTTATAACTTTATGCCCGTGCTCTTCTGTTAATTTATCAATAACATATAAAGGTTTACGTGGTTTATTTTGCTTTACTAATTGTACTAGCTCAGCTTTCAATAACTTCATGTCCGCTTCCACACCTTTGTGTTGCAGCCATGCTATTAAATCTGCTTTGTTATTCGCTTGGGTTGGGGCTTTGTCGATTTGGACAGGTATGAGTAGTTACGTTGTACCAGTTCTGGCGCACTGAGTCAGAAGTGGTACAAGTACGACATTCGTCGACTCACTATCGTTAAAAAAAAGGGTTTTGGCATGCTCTGATCACGAATCTACGCAAAAATCCATTTTTGCGTAGGATGCACGGTTCCGGAGATGTGCAGATCAATTAACTCTTATCTAATTGATATCCGGTGAAGGCCTCCACCGTCATTAGCGCTCCATTGTTCTTATCTACTTATCTATTGTTCATTGAATACCGTCATTATCTAATCTTCCTCAGCGTGGTGCTACTGTATTATACTCCTTTGTACGAACTATTCTACACTAATCTGAGTCATCAATAAAACACATTACCTAATTTTGTTAAAATTTTTATTACCAAAATCTTATTACTTATTATCTATAAAATAGGAGTGAAACATCTCATCCACTAAAATATCGTTGTACAATGTGTTCCCTGTAAATATACTCGTAAAACTATGCATTGAACATCCCTGAAACTTATATAGCAAATACATTAAGCAATATTCGCCACAAACTGAAGTCCACTCATTCTGAATCCTATCAACATTCCAGTTCCATCTTTTACAATTTCTTTTAAAAAAAACTCTAGATTACTCTAGATAACTCTAGACTCGTACAGGTGCCCGTCCGAATGAATCAAAATATTGACCGATGTCATTCGTATCGATATATAAAGCTACCCAATGTGACCCTGGTTTATCATCTGTATCCAAATTGCATATTATATACGTTGGTACGTGGGTGTACATGGGTAGTTTATTGGCAGCGTAAACATTATTTTCTAGAGTGGGGTGAATCTTTTTCAGATGTTGTTGTACATCTAGTGTATCCATAATATTACTGCTATTAGTAGATTATTACAGTACCAATCTACTCAATGACTAATATAGGAATGATCAATTATAGTGATTATACAAAACGTATTTGAGTCATCAATACACTGAACAAGACACGACAGGAAGGACGAAGGAATGTTGAGATAAGCAACAGAATGTGAGATAAGTTTGTTGACGCATAAAGTTACTATCAATTCTACTGCAGAAATTCTTTACTGGTACTATATAAGACCAAGCAACTGCAGTCATTGAGTTAGTGTATGGTCGTTTGACCGCAGTGGATCTATCAATACTACATTTGTGTTACTTCAACGCATCAAAGGCCATGGATGTAAGTGTTTATTCTATTGACAAACTTACTTTTCTTTCTGTTATTTTCTTACGTGTGTATGATTTAGTGTTAACAAATTATATTTAAATATTATGTTACGGCCTCTAGTTACCCGGGCAAGGTCGTGGGACCCGGGCCCATCAGGGGTTCCACTCGACGAGTAACAGGAGGTCGGCCTAAATGGCTTGTGGAATATTACACGTTAGCGGTAAAAAAGGGAACCAAACAAAACTTACCTATTTCTTCGAAGTAGGGTCAACCCTAGGAAGATTCAGGTGTAAGTGTGGGCGTGCTTGACTGTGTTGTGTTGTGATTGTGTTAAATTATGTAACCTGACTTCCCGCTGGTTGCAGAACCGCCGATCCCAAGGCTTCACCTTTATTCTTTATATCGAAGTGGCAGTCCGTCACAAAAATTTAAGAATCTAGGAAATTACACTCGTTTCTCACTTGTTAATTGGAGTCAAGTCAATTGTCATTAGGTTAATCCAATAAAATCCAACAAGATTTAACCGAACTCGCGTTACAACAAACTCGACCTTTGTGAAAAAAGCAATATCACCGGGCCGCGTTGCAAACAACTCAGGTTCGCGAAGTATAGGCGTCAGAGGCAGCGGGCGACTAAGCTATTAACACGACGCGCAACTACTCAGTTCCACGCTCTGCGGCAAGTGATTCGCAAAACGCCGACGCCGGCGCGGCCGGACGCCGCACCAGCCCGCACCCCCCGCGCCTCAGCCGTCAGGCTCGCCTCCCGCTCGACCCGAGCGCCGACGCAGGCCGCCAAACGTTAAATTAGGCCTAAACAAGCCCCCGTCCCGGACATGAGGATCTAGGTCCGCGAGTAAATTGGCAAGCGGGATAGGGTAGAGACGGCACGTTGCAAAACCGAATCTCCAACCAAAACCTCGGCCACCCTAGGGATCCCATCCGGTCCATACGACAACTTGACAATGCGCCCACGGCGCCAATACAAGGGCGAGGCGTTAGGTTCTTTAACTAACACGAGGTCTCCAACCCGAGGGGGGTCCGTCTTGTCAGACCACTTAACGCGCTGCTGCAAAAGATGTAGGTACTCCAGAGACCATCGGTGCCAAAAACTCTGAGTTATTTGTTGCAGCATGTCAAATCTGCTCAACCGCGAAGAGATTATTTCCCGGAAGGGGTACTCGGGCAGGGCGTTAAGCGGCTGGCCTATCAGGAAGTGGCCAGGGGTTAGAACCTCTAAATCATTCGGATCGGACGAGAGAGGACAGAGGGGCCGAGAGTTGAGGACTGCTTCAATTTTACAGAATACAGTGGCAAGCTCTTCAAATGTCAAAATAGTTTCGCCAATAACGCGACGGAGATGCGTCTTTGCAACCTTCACCACCGCCTCAAAAATACCGCCCCAGTGTGGGCAAGCCGGAGGGTCGAATTTCCACTGGATGCCCTTCTTGGACATCGCAGTAGTTAAATAGGTCCTGTTGCTAGACAGAAATTCAACGACCTCCTTCAAATACCTATCAGTACCCTTATAATTCGTTCCGCAATCCGACCGGATCAGGTCCGGTAAACCGCGACGCGATACGAAGCGACCCAGTGTGGACAAAAAAGCCTCCGTGCTAAGGGCACTTACAAGTTCTAAGTGAACAGCCTTAGTGGAGAGGCACACGAAAACGCACAGATAGGCCTTATGAGCACGCGCGTTACGAAGGTTAGAGGACTTGACGAGGAAGGGGCCAGCGAAGTCAGTTCCGACTCCCGCGAATGGTCGGATGGCCCTGACGCGGTCGGGTGGTAAGTCGCCCATCATCGGCTGTGATATGGGGGCCTTCAACTTATAACAAGATATGCACTTAAAGATGACGCTCCGAATGGTGCGTCGACCCGCCAAAATCCAAAACTCCCGCTGCAAAATGGCCGAAAGAGCGTTGCACCCAGCGTGGGCATTCTGAACATGGTAGTGAGTTACCAGCAACCGAACAAAGGCGCCGTCCTTGGGGAGCAGTAGAGGGTGTCGAGCCTCGTACGGCAGTTGAGAATTTTTCAAACGTCCGCCCACGCGAAGCATCCCCGAGTCATCCAGGAAGAGGTTCAGGCGGGCCAGCGCACCCTTGACAACTAAGCCCCGCTTCAAGGTATCAATCACGAGCTCGAAATGCTCCGCTTGGATCATACGGGTCCAATGCATCAAGGCTTCGCGCCGCTCGCTAGGGGACAAGGCGGAATCAGATATTCGGTTAGATGGGTCTCTCGAGTTGCGGACAAATCGACGCAACCAAGCAGTTACTCCCAAGAGCTTGTCGAGAGAGCTGTACCGTTCTAGTAAGGAGAGATCACGAGTGGGCTTATCCTTGACCACTCCTACTCGGGCTCGTAGGCCAGGCAATTCAATTGGTTCAGAGTATTTGTTCTGGGGCCAGAACGCCTGAGGCTCAGTTAACCAGCCGGGCCCCCACCACAGCGGGTGATCAACCAAGTAGGAGGCTTCACAGCCACGAGAAGCACAGTCTGCTGGATTCAACTCCCCTGGGACATGTCTCCACGTTAGACAAGTGGCAGAATTCTGGATTTGGGACACGCGATTCGACACGAAGACCTCAAGATTGTGAGGTGCCGCTCGGAGCCAACAAAGTACTATCTCACTGTCCGACCAAGCGTAGACGTCCGTAATGTCGATTACCGACTTCAAGGAGGAGTGAACGTGGTTGAGCAGTCGCGTGAGAAGAGCAGCTCCAGACAGTTCCAACTTAGGAATAGTTAAGCGGGACCTAATGGGAGCCACTTTGCTTTTAGCAAGTACGAGATGGACGGAAGTATGGCCAGAAGAGCTCACCGTCCGCAAATATACAACAGCAGCATAACCCTTCTCAGAGGCGTCGCAAAATCCGTGCAGGGTAACCCTGCATTTCCCTGGAGGGAGGAAGCACCTTGACATGGAGACCCGGTCGATGTCTGGAAGGGAGGACACAATTGAGAGCCACTCTCGCAAGAGAGCACCGCTTATAGGATCGTCCCAGCCCAACCCGGATATCCAGAGTTTTTGAAGGAAACACTTAGCCAAAAAGATGACCGGAGTAATCCAACCATTAGGATCGAAGGTGCGAGCTACAGTTGACAACACAGAGCGCTTGGTCCATGATTTAGGGGGGGATCGAGCTTGACTCGATACGTGAAGGTATCCTGAACAGGCTGATATTGAATGCCAAGCACAGTCAACAAATTAGGATTGTCAGGGTGCTCGAATAGATGAGGGTCTTGTTGATCCTCTCCAGGGAGGTCCTTCAAAATATGAGGGGAGTTCGACAACCATTTGCGCAGCTCATAACCTCCCGACTTCAGGATGGCAATCAATTCGTCTCGCAATACGAGAGCCTCCTCGACGGTGGAGGCACCCGTACAAATATCGTCCATGTAGACCGAGGTCTCCAAAATAGAAGCCCCCCGAGCGTATCTTAGGCGCTCTCTCTCAGCGAGTTCGAG